GCCATTTGGTTTTCCTGGGACTGTGAAAGGTTGTCAGAGATGGGGACCATATCTTTCATAGCTGTGTGGCAGCTGCTATCTGAGGCATCCCAAGTCCTTGGACATCTTTGAATTAAGTCTCAGCACCCCTGTGTAGTTCAGTGTTATCTCTGTTACACAGGAGGGGAGACTGGGGCAGAAGCAGATGATGCTGATTGCTGAAGGCCACACCACAATTCTCTGGCAGTGCTGCTCTGCCACTTTCCTGTGCTGTCTCAGAGGCAAGGTTGTTCTTTCTCCCTCGAGGGTATCAAAGGGAGCTGTAGAGCCGTTTTTTTCAGCTTTTTCTTCTTGTTTTTTGAGGAGAGTGAAATTGTGTGGACCAGTGAAGCAAGTTGGCTTCAGGCATCTTGTCAAATTAACTTTCCCTGTCTGTGCACGTGTGGGCTGTGTGGCAGGAGTCTGCAGGTGCAGAAGGCACGGGCACACTGCTAGTGTCAGAGGCACTTATGGGAGTAAGAGTTGGCACTGTGAGAAACAGGCTCTTTCAAACTTGTATTTTAGTGAAAAGATCAAATGTACTTACAATTATTGTCATCATGCTAGCTGATAACAGAATGATCCCTTGCTCCATGTACCATCCAGCTCCCCTAAAATGCATGAGAGCTGTCTTGGCCAGCTCGGAGAGGACCTTTGCCACTACACAGTGCTCTCTCTGACTCTATACATTTCATGTTGGCACTGATGAGTGATGCTTGGAGACTCTCCAGCCACAGGTTAGCTGGTGACAGGAGGCCCCAAGGGAAGGGTAGCTGCTGTGAGTAATCAGACAGGCACCTGGTACATACTGAAATATTCAGAAATAGGCAGCAGGAGCTTTCCTGCAGGGTCTGAGGGAATGTGTACATCTAACTCAGGTGCTAGAATATGAAAAGGGCACTGTTTTCCTACTAACTCACAAAATAAAATGGGCCAAATGGGACCATGAGGCCTCTGCCATCATTATGTGTCACTCAGCCACAAGTGAGTGTGTTGAGCCAGGGAGTTCCATTAGCTGCTGGTGGTGTGTAGGTGTGGGGCTGTGGGAGGTGGGAACTGGTAGCTTTTCTTCTCCATGTGTAACTTCCCTTTTCCTCAAGGCCAACCTTGACCAGTTGTATTATGACTTAATTATTCTAATGCATCAACAAATGTAATCTTTTGTTCTGTCCTGCCTCAGAAAAAGGACTTCTCACCTTCCAGTGATAGACATCCTGGCCCTGACAGAAACTGAAGGTCTTCTCCTTTGTGCCTTCAGCCTCCTTAGGCCAGCAAAAGTGCTGATAGTGGAAAAGAAGGTCTAATGAATACTAGCATTAAATTCCCATCACATTCTCTGTAGCAGAATACGCTGGTAACCTCTTATAAACTACCTGCAATAGTTTGTTTCCACTAATGCGTTCCTGAAGCCAGAAGCCCTTTAAAATGCATTGAGAGTGGGAAAATGAGGAATAAAAACACCCTGGATAAATGTAGGGAGCAGACTTGTCAGCAACCAGTCAGGAGGAAAAGCAGATCTAGTTTGTTAGGCATACATTACAGTGTGCAGCTAACAGTGACAGCAGATACATGAATTCCACTGGCTTTCTTGGGGAGATACTGACCCAGAATCCACTTGAAGGGAAGAAGAACAATTCCCTTTACAAAATCAGACTAGATAGAAATGACAATGACCCCCCATCATAGGAAAAACCAAAAAAAGCATTGCTCATTCTTACCTTGACTTTTGGTGGGCAGAAGTTGGTTCACTGAAGCTTGCCCATTTAGGAGAGATAAATGAGGAATGCTTTTTTGAACCTTTTTCTGCCTCCTGGACTGATGAAATGAGCTGTCCAAAGACTCTCATTCCCTGTCTGCAGAGAGGGAAGCCTAAAGGGTATTTAATGACATGCAGAAGATGAAGGGAGAGTCATTAGCACTCGAGTGTCTAGGTAACTCTCTTAGAAGTTAAGATTAAAAGCTTTAATGAAAGTGACCTTCACACTTCATGTTCCCTCTTTTACTTTTCTCCATGCTTGAAGCTCTAATGATCACTTTTTTTCTGCTTTGTTACTGTAGCACTTATTTTGGGAAATATTTCCATAGCTCAGCAGGAATTTGGATGCAGGGTGGTAATATCTGCAAGCATTGGGTGGGTGCAAAACAAAGGCTGGTGTAAAGGGTCAGATTTTCTCCTTGTAGGGAACTGAACAAAACCTGGAAACATTGCTAGATACAGGTTTTTAATATTTTGATTATAACTTTAAGAAAGGATAAAATTATCATCAAATATTTGAGTATGCCATGCTGTTCTCTCCGAGCAGGGAAGAAATTTGCTAGAGAGCACAAGGAAGCGTGTTGGGAATGGAAAGAGTATGTACAACGAGAGATTTGCAGTCCTGTGGGCTCTTGGGCAGCAGACTGAAAATTCTGGGCATGCTGTAGGAGGATGATGTGTATTTATGTCTGGATCAGATGAGAGCACAGGAGAGAACGGAGGTGTGGCATGTGAGTAGAAAGGAAAGGAGAAAAGAAATGTCCAACAATTTGAAATAAGGAGATCAGTAAGTGCCAGTAGTGTAGTCAGGCTAGAAGATGAGCAAAAAGGAGCCTTTTGCAAAGCAGCTATATCTAGGGTAGCTTTGTTTATTTTTTATTTAAAAATGCAGTTGGTATTTGTAATTGTAACTGAAACTGAAATTAATGTCCCATTTGAGACACCAGTGCCTGCTTGATTGAAACCAGGAATAGTTTATGTGAAAACAATATATCTTTCTTTTACGATAATTAAAGTTTTATTTTGCTTGAAATTGAACTTTCTTGTAGTGTAAATTACATCAATCATGCTGGTGTTCCTTTAGCTTATAGCGAGCAAAAGAGTAAAAAATTTATTTTCCTGCATTGAAGTGTGAATTGAATGAAGTGTAAGACTCAGAATGGAGTCAGGCTCTCTTCAGTGGTGCCAAGCAATAGGATCAGAGGCAATAGGCAGAACCTGTTGCACAGGGAGTTCCACCTGAACATGAAGAAAAGTGCTTTTACTGTGCAGGTGACTGAGCACTGGAACAGGTTACCCAGAGAGGTTGTGGAGTCTCTCCCACTGGAGATATTCAAGAACCTGGATGCAATCCTGTGCCATGTGCTCTAGGATGACCCTGCTTGAGCAGGGAGGTTGGACCAGATGACCCACAGTGGTCCCTTTTGGCCTGACCCGCTCTGAGATTTTGTGACTCTTGGTCCATGCTTTGCAGGCATCTGAGCTGCCCTGTGGCCCATAGGTCTGATGTTGGACTGCTGTAGCCTTGTAGGGCCGGGTTGATAACAAGTGATGCTGTCAGGCTCCTCTCAACAAAATGAAATGCTTTTTGTCCACTCTTTAGCAGAGCAGTTACCTCACCAGGTATCAGAGATGAACAGTTACTTCTCCAGATATCCACAGACTGGAAAAAAAATCCAATGCTTTGATCAGCAAACAACTTTGCATAAGGTTCTGCAAAAAGGGAAAAGTGGTATTAATTTTCATAGTGATGCTTTTGTGGGGAAAGTGTCATTATTCTATCACAAATTAACTGTCTAAGTACCCAAAACTCATGAAATATATTGTAAATGTCAGGATATTTTCATCTTTGTGATTTTATTCCCACTGAGAATTTGTTCAGGATGTGTTAAATTGAAGGTAATATATAAACAAGGTGTGAACAGTTCAGTTAAGTGGTAACCTGAGGTTAAAAACACAGCGATCAAATTCAGTGCCTGAAGTTGGCAGGGAGATTGTCTTACCGCCTCGGGAAGACTTGAAATTTAACTTGTTTTGAAATGTAGGTGTTAAATCTGTGAAAAAAAAACTCACTTGAGTATGTAAATGAAGTGGCTTCCCAGAGATGAAGAGAGCATGTGGAGCTCTTAGGCTGCCTTTAGGAGAGAGAAGGGCCACGCTCCCGTCATGTAACCTCTCTGCTGTGGTTCTGTTTTGTAGCATCTGTGAGGAGGCAATGTTCAGGTACAATCAGGGCTGTGCTCCCTGCCTGGCTGCCCTCTGCCACCTGTCACCAACAGCGGGGGGGGCTGCACTGTTGCCTGCTTGAGCTAACAGAGACAACAGCTTTGGGTTTATTTTTGTTGGGCTTCTGAGACCTTATTAGCTTGAAGGGAGTTTTTGGAGATACTGTATTTCTGCACTGTGCTTATGTTCAGCTTTTTGTTCTCCCTGGCATTGCCTTCAAGTAAATGCATGGCAAAGTAGCCTTAAAAGGACAAAAATCCCTTCCCATTTCAGAGTAAGCCAAGAGGAGGATTAGGCTCCTTCCCCTGGTAATTGGATCCTCTGATTGCCTTGGCTTTGAAGATGATTGTGTATCTTTCTGTATGTGATAGATTATGTGTGTGCCTGTGAACTAAAAGGGAGCTTGGCTTTGAAAATCCAACGAGTTTTCTTCTATAATAATTTTATTTTTGGTTGTTTACTTTGTGCGCTGACCATGGGACACATAGCATTCTAGCCAACAAAACGAGGCAGGGGTAGTCCTCCTGCAGCTGTTCCATTGTAGACTCTTCTCAAGCCATAGGAGGTTGGTGACTGCCTGGGACCCTTTAGAAAATGAAAGCTCTCCCAAGGTTACAGTATTGAGGATTCAAGTGAATGTGGGAGCCAAGAGGAAAGTGGACTGGATGTTAACCTCCTTAAACTGGTTGAAGTACAATCCAGTTCATCTATGGAGCCAATACCACCTTTCTATCACCTCTGGTCAGCAAAAGAAGTACATTTGCAGTTGGATTGTCAGTATCCATCCACTGTCTTCAAAACTAGTCTATGTTGTCTCATGGTTTGTAATCTTAGGGTTTAAATTTCAGCAGGGAGTAGTGTCTCTACCTCTGCTTTCATGCATTAATACACATGGTATATTTGAAACCCATTCCACTCGGGGGTAGAGGGCTCCAAAGCACTCGTGGTGTATCAGTGTTAAAGCATAAACCACAAAATCTTTCCTTTCTTTTGACAGATTGAAGACATCGTTACAAGAATGCAAGATGACAAAACCGGTGGAGTTCCCATCCGCACTGTCAAGAGCTTTCTGTCCAAAATCCCCAGCGTGGTCACCGGTAAGAACTGCAGCTGGAAGAGAAACAAATGTGAGCTGGTACTTGCTAGCTCTAAACAAACATACTAAAGCCACAAAGAAGTAGAAAAAATGCCCCCTCCTCCTCAGTTTTTCTATGTTTTTCTGTTACAGGCTGAAGTATTGAACAAAGATTCCTTAGTTCTGTTTTAGTAAACAAGCATGCATATTTCTTTGGGGTGAGTTATTAGAAAATGTTACATAGTTTTTGTGGCTATCAGAATATCACCAGTCAGTCATTCCCTATGAGAAGGGTAAGACAATCTTAGGTAAGAGGTCTGGAAAGAAATTTGAAATTGTGCCCTCACTCATACCCAAATACTCTTACTGGACTTTGATCACAGGCAGAGGAATGTGAAATACCTTTTATGCATGTGTGCTGCTTTGTTAAGGCTCTGTGTACAAAAGTGTGGATGGTGCAGAAACGGGGAGTCAAAGTCAATTCTCTGTGTACTTCCAGACAGAGTATCTTTGAATGCAACAAAGACCTCTGCCACTGATAGATGATGAGTTTATTCAGGGTGATGTAAATTGCATGGAGGATTTATACTTGGGTTTCTGGTACCTGTTTTCACTGATTTGATAGTAGTGTTCCTCAAGGTTCCTGGGGAAAATAACCTCTTATCTGATTTGAAAACTCATTCCATAAGCTCAAGTCTGCAGTGCATAGACTGGAAGATCAACTCAGCTAAAAGAGGTTTCTGATACTCTGGTTAAAATTCATAACATTAAAAAGGTAATTGATCTAGTCATGCATGTTACTCAAAAGGAAATAGGAGTCCTCACAGCATTTTTAAATGTTAGCAGCTCTCTGGCATGATGGAAACTGCTCCCTTGCACTCAGTTCTGGAACAGCAGCTGCAATTGCATCGTCTTGAAGTGGCTGGTTTTCACAATACAGGGATTTGTAAAAAGATGAAGTTAAATAAGAACAAAACCTCTCTCCAAAGCCCATAGAGATTCTCATATTTGGTGGGGAACAAGTTCAGTACAATTCCCTTCAGGTGATTTGAAGGCAGCTCCGTTGTGATGCATGGACAGTTCATGAAGCCTCCGAGTTGGAAAAGTATGGGAAAATAACAGCCCAGTGGAGAGCCCAGAGTTTTCTCCATTTGTTATTTTCCCTTTCAGATGCATAGATCTACCTATTTATAGTCCAAAACCAAAAGAAATGTATGTATATTATCAGTGATTGATTGTGATAGATTTATGAAGAGGCAAGAGCACCTACATTTGAAGGGAAGCTGAGGACACTGGATTTGCTCAGTCTGGGGAAGGAAAAGCTGAAGGGGATGAGAAGCTACAAAGGCAGGGTCAGATCCTCTTTTTGGAGTGCTTGTTGAAAGCACCAAAGACAATCTACACAAGTTGCAGGGAAAGAAATCCCAACTAGATTTACATATAAGAAGAAAGTTGTTTATGGTCAGAGCAGGTGAGCATGAGCCCAGTGTCTTGGAGGAGCTGTGGAACCAGTGGTTTGCAGCTGTTCAGAATCCCCTGGACCCAACTGAACTGAGCAGTCTGACCTAACCATGCATTCGGCCTTGCTTTGTGTGAAGGTTGGAGTAGAAAACCTTCAGAGAATCTTTCCAACCTGCATTACTCTCACAGTCAGTGGATACTGAGTTTTAGCACTTGTCTAATTCCACACAATGTCATGAACACAGGAGAAGAACTTCTATTTTCAAAAACTTTGTACCTCCTCTTGGGATGAGCTCAATTCTAGACCATGGCATTCTCACACACTTTTTATTCCTACTTGAAAAATGGAACAGCAGTGCTGAGATGTGATTTACTTGGTAGGCTCACAGTGACTGTGATTTACAGGGATTTATTTTTGCTTGACACTTCTATTGTAATTGCTTCTCACAGGAGAAATATAAAATCTTAAAGGAAAAGAAATATTACAGGAGTGCCTTGGTGCTCCAAACAGGCAGCTCTGTTTATAGTACAGCAAAGTGGGTGTTTGATTTAAAGTTTGAATACCAGAGAAAGAACTGCTCGTCTCTGTTTTGCTTTCATCTGTCCTGATGCCTTAGGTGTGAATGAGGTATTGGGTAACACAAGAAGAAGAAACTCTGGGGAGTTATCAATAATGGTCCTCTCTTGGCAACAGAAATCTGGGAAAAAAGATGAAAAAACATTTTTTGAATGTATGATGAGTGTGTGCAGGGATGCTGTGCCAAAGACAGATTTCAATCTGCTCTGGAAGTAGATTTGTGTATCTCCTTCTCAGTCTCTTGGCTCGAAGTAGGTCAGTCAAAGGAGGACACATCACACCATTATCTTCTTGGTTAGGTCTTCACTTTTACCAGCAAGCCATAGAGAATAAAAGTGGGATGGGACCAGTCTCTATGGCACCTGTGTGCATGTGTCAGACATTGTCCAATGTTCAGTTCAGAGTATGGAATATGGGAAAAAATGCCTGAGGGCAGGTTTTGAGTTGTGCTGTGATCCGTGCCCAGAATGAGTTTTCAAGCCAATGCACGTAATGGCAGCTGCTGCAATAAATGGAGTTGCATGTTTCTCTTCTAGTGAGAAAAAATTTTCTCAGTAAAATATAGATGAATTGTTAATTCTATTTTCCCAGTCATCAGACTCTTGTAGGAACATCTCATTATACTAACCAGCAAAAAAACAGGCTTTCTCATCTTCTTTTCAATTTTCATGTAATTGCATCTTAAAACTAACTTCATTTTTGGTAGGAGGACCAAACACATGTACTTTTTTTCTCCCACTGGTTCAGACTTGGTTTTATAAAACATTGCCAAAACAAGTCAGAAAGAAGTCAGTGCTGCAACAGCACAGCTTTCCAGTACAAAAAACCTCCTTCACGCTTCCAAGTTTGCCCCACATTCTCAACCTCATTGCAGATTCTCCTGTTTTGTGCACTGTCTGATCCTTTGTATCAGCATCTTTGCTACCACAATCCAAGGGAGACATGCAGTCTAAAATCTTTGCACTAGTCTGCCCTCCTCCCGAGACGTTTTGTTAGAGCTTCATTCTGATCCATAGCCCCTGACTTGAAGCGTGGCTGTCTCCACAGCTCCATTTTGAATGGTACCTGCTCCTCCAGCAGCAGTGCCATGGCCAGTCCCTTGCTCCTGCACTGCTCCTGACCCTCACCCCAGCACTCTCTTGCCTTCCTGCTCTGCTCCCAGCACTGCCTCCGTGGCTGTGGTGAGTTCATGTCCTGGCTGTCCTGCCTTGGATTGAGTGCTGCCATGCAAGCTTGGAGCACACAGCCCTGACAGTGCATTTCACTCCTGTCCTGCCATGTCTGTCTTATATAAGCCCTGGACCTCTCTCAGTAGGAAGTGCCAGTTTCACTGAAATATGCCAGATGGCCTGTTGCTACTTGAGACTCATGAGCTAAACCAAGTTTAAACTGCTGTGTGTTTCTGTCTGAAGAAGCCAGCATGTGTCTTGGCAAGTGCCCATGGAGTTGTCCCAGAACACATCAGAATGTCACTTACTCAAAGAAAATGCATTTGGCTGGAGTATGGAAATCCCACGGTGTTGTGAAAGAAAGACTTTATTATTGAAAATGTTCCCTGATGATGTAGTTCAAAACAGACAAGTTCTGCTGGAGAACTTTATACATCCATTGAGAAATTGGCTCCCTTGGGGCCAGTCTGAGAGTGTTTGTTGCATTTTCCCTTCAGGGGAGCTCAAGCACATCTCTCACCCAGGTACAGCAGCCACAGGCCCAAGGGAGAAATAAGTTCCTCATGTCCAGAGATTGAAAGGCCCCTGTTCAGGTGAACTGTACAAAAAAAAAAGATTGCTGTGGCATGGAGAGCAGGCCAAGGACTGGCAGTGGTGGCAAGAGCCAGCACCCATCACCTGGCAGAGCCCTAGGAGCAGGCTGCAAGGCTGGGTGCTTGGCCAGAATGTTTGCTTTCTTAATGCTTCTTTTCAGGGGTAGAACTTGCCTTGGTGCCTTGTGGAAACTACTGTCATTGAGACCAAAGCCTCCATGAGCTGTCTACCAATAGATTGGCTTCCCCAATCTATCCAGCTGCCTGCATCACCTTAATGCAGGGCTTTCACTGCAGGACTGAGTCTGATAGAGATTTCCCTCGGCATTTGGGTAGTTTTGTTTTAGATATTTTGTCTTTCTTCTGTAGTTCTGCTTTGAAAAAAGGATACTTGAAATGTGGTACTGACTCTGCTTCAGGCAGTTAATAGATGAAGATAGTCCCAAATCTAAATCAAGTTTAATCTTCCGCTAAGCATGAATTAGTCTATTTAGTTAAAACAAGCAAACAAAAAGCCACTAAGAGACAAAAAAACAAAATTTCCAAAATTTGAATCAATATCCAAACTAATACTGGATGTTTACAGATTTGTGAAGGGTATAGAATTGACATATGATTGTATGTGCATACTGTATAATTTTTGAAGGTTCTTCACATTTCTAAAGAGCAGATACTGTACAGTAAATTCAATAGTTTAGCAATTGCTTGGTGGAATTGCTGGCTTGCCAAATACTGGTTGGGCATACAAATCCATTTATTTCTCATAAAAAAATCAATTGTTCTGAGCAAATTGCATTTAAACTAATTCAAGTCAAGGCTGGGCTTCTTCATAACAAGTTACATTTCCTTCTTTTATGCATCTCTTCAAATTGTACCCAGTGGAAATGTAATCCCTCCATCCCTCAATAAGAAGTCTAGTATTTCAAAGCTGCCCCGAATCACACAGCATTAGACATGTCAGCAATTACATGAGTAGCACATGTCTTGCAATTATTTTTTTTCCTGTAGCTTTCTCTTAAGCTCTCTACTTGCATTCCAGGAGACAAATTAACCCAGTTAAGGAGTCAAATTCTTATGCTGTCTTCATCCTCAGCTCCCTCCTCCCTCCCTTTTTCTCCTTAATTGCATCCAGCTTCCTACCTTTCAAATGGTGAGAAGGATGAGGGAGGAGAAGATGAATATCTACTCCCTGAATTGCAGCAATTTTGTGCCTGTTGTAAAG